CCTGCACCCGGCCAATCCCACAGCAGTTGTCTTCTATACTGGGTCAACCCCACTTACCCAGACATCACACAAAGCTGTCTCCTGCACCCGGCTAATTCCACAGCAGTTGTCTTCTATACTGGGTCAACCCCACTTACCCAGACATCACACATAGCTGTCTCCTGCACCCGGCTAATTCTACAGCAATTGTCTTTTATACCAGGTCAACCCCACTTACCCAGGCATCCAACATAGCTGTCTCCTGCACCCGGCCAATCCCACAGCAGTTGTCTTTTATACCAGGTCAACCCTACTTACCCAGGCATCCCACCCATCGTCTCGTATACATAGTCATCAGCTTCCACACCAATAGTCTTCTATCCTGCGTCATTCCTACATAACCCAGACATCTCACAAAGCTGTCTCCTGCACCCAGTAAGACCAACGTACAACAGTATAATCTACCGTACTTCCTCAAGGGTATAAGCCCTGGGGCCTGAACATGTAAAATCGGAAAAAATAAGGAGTGGGCTTATACTCGAGGACTACCTTAGAAAAAATAATTTTTTGGTGCGTTTAAAACTGTAACCATCTTTCCAGCCTCAAAACATTATCCAAATTCCATTTTTCGTTCACAGCGCCGGTCTCGGGGGGGAATATTGCGTCTTTTTGAGAAAACAAAAATGTGAAATGAACCGTCGTTGATTTCAACGACGCTTTTTAAAATGAAGAAACAAATATGAACAAAAAACAAAAATTTTATTACAATACGGTTCACATACCGTCTGAATTTACGGTGCAAAAATGGTCTGTGGGAAAACGGTCGAAGGCAAGATCGTACGCAAACTCTCGATACAAAGCTATTTCCGCCATGGTTTCATCGTAATTTGAACAAGTCACGTTTTTCGTTAACCAATGAAAATGCTCTGTCATACAGTCGAAGTTTTCCGATTATTGACAAAGTATTTTTATCAACGCAATGCAGTAGTGTATTACCGCGATGTTAAAATGCGATCTGTTAACACTGATTTCAACAAAAAACGGCTACCTTTTTTGCTATAAGCTGTTGATTCACAATTTTCGAAAGGTTAACTGAGGGTGAGGGAAGTATTTAAACCTTTCACGGCCGCCAACAAGTCGTGTCGAACATAGTTTGCTCTTTCACACCCCATTCACGATAGTCTCAATGGACAAGATTATTCGGAAAGGTAACACGATGATAGTGACTAGGTTTCACGACTTGACGATCACATTTTTGCCGTTTGGAAAACTACTACTCAAAAGAAATATGGATTATTTCAGTATTGCAACATCGGGGTTCATCCCGAGTAAATAACAGAATAGAGAACGTGCGAACTATGTGACGTTCGCCCGCCGTGCACTCTGAAATTTATGCGAATTTTCTCGTAAAAGCTGGAACCAAACTACCGTACCAATCATGATTTTTATGCAATGAAATGCACTTTTTACACGCATATTTTAATAAATGTCGTCTACGCCCGGTAAAAACACCCTGGGCTTTTACTCGGGGATGCCCTCAACTGGTTAAATGCCCAAAACAGAGGGGTGGGCTTATACTCGAGGAGGGGTTTATACTCGGGGAAGTACGGTATAATACTTGTTGTTTATACCATACATGTACTTAAACAAACTAAATTGACATGTTCAATCTTTTCATGTACAAATAATCTTTTGTATTCAATGGGAATTCATTTTTGACTCCCATGTGCGAAGCACAAAATGGGAGTCTTTGCAGTTAGTGTGTCTGTATGTGTGTGTGTGTGTGTGTGTGTGTATGTGTGTGTGTATGTGTGTCCGACTGTTCCACTGCTATCTCAAGAACCATACATCGGTTTTTGATGAAACTTGGTGCATAGATGCTCTGGGCCAATGCGCAGATTTGATTAGGTTTTGGTAAAAATCCATGCTCGTTAATTACCTAATTTGCATGATAATTAGCTAATTTTTAGCTGTTCTATGACTGTTCCACTGATATCTAAAGAACCACTCATTGGATTTTGATGAAACTTGGTACATAGATGCTCTGAACATATGCGCAGATTTGATTAGTTTTTGGTAAAAATCCGTGCATATTAATTACCTAATTTGCATGATAATTAGCTATTTTTTAGTGGTTCCATGACTGTTCCACTGATATCTAAACAACCACTCATTGGATTTTGATGAAACTTGGTACATAGATTTTCTGAACTAATGCTAGGTTTTGATTAGTTTTTGGTAATAATCCGTGGATACTAATTACCTAATTTGCATAATGATTAGTCAATTTTCGGTTTTTCCACTGATATCTCAAGTACTAATCATCACATTTCAATGAAACTTGGTACATAGATGTCATATGACACTGCACAGACCTGATAGTTTTTATGGTAATATCAGTACATGTAATTACCTAATTTGCATAATTAATTAATTTTCAGCTTTT